CTAATTATAAATGTCTTTGCTAAACTTGTCCAGAGAATTAGGTCCATCCGAAACTGGTAGAAAGTGGCGGACTTTAGTTAATCTGTCCACGTCACCATACTGCATCATTGCTTCCGCTGCCGTCTGAGGTAATCCAGTAAACAAATCCATCGTGATCTTGATCCCACTTTCCATGTTGGCCACTGTTTATTGAGATGAAGTAACCCAGCTGGCAGTTGATGTTCTGCTTTTACTTGGTTGACATGTTAAACATCTTGTACAACATTTCCGATATCATTCTTCCATTGCCCGGCCAACCAATAACCTTTCTTCAAAATCTTGATAACATCTTGGTACTACCTGGGATGCATTTATATGGCTGTTATGAGCTTCATGCAGAATCTTTTGTCTAAGCTCCCCTATCGGTGCGTTAAACAACTCTGTCTTCATAGAATAAGACTCCACTGTTATTACCAATCTAAATTTTCCCACCATGATCTTCTTGTACTTGTTGTTTCATTCCATAGTGTGTTGTAGCATTCTTTCTTCTGTGCCCTGTTTGTGCATCTTTCTTCTGTGCCTCTGCAACTTCCTGAACCCAAGATGGCTGTACTTGCATCTGTGCTAGAATAACTCCCTGCTGTTGCAACTCTATGCTAATTCTCATTGCTCTCAAAGCAAACAATGATTTCCGGCTAAGGGCATCAGCTACCACATTAGCTTTGCCTGTATGGTAATTAATGACATAATCATAATTAGCCAAAAGCTGCATCCATTTCCGTTGTCTTGAATTTAAGTCCTTTTGTGTCGGCAAATACTTTAAACTCTGATGATCTGTGTAAATGTAACACTTTTCACCGTACAGATAATGCCGCCATACCTTGAATGCTAGAGGCTGCCAGTTCTAAATCATGCGTTGGGATAATTCAATTTCATGTGGCTTTCAATTGTCTGGAGACATAAGGCTACCACTTCTCTGTCTGCATGAGTACACATCCTAACCCAATATGAGAAGGCATCACTGTTAAATCTCAAAAAGTCTTTACCTGACACTGGCTGATCAAACACTGGTGCTTCCAAAGTCAAACTTTTTTCTTCAAAAAAGTGTACAAAAACTGATGCTCGACATCCAACTTTTTCTTCAAAGTGTCAAAACTCTGCTGACATCTATCATCCCAGTGGAATACAACCGCTTTCTTCAATAATCTTGTTAAAGGTGATGCAATGATAGAGAATCCCTTTATAAACCTTCTATAATAACCGGCTAAACCCAAAAAACTTCGAACTTCTGACATTTCTGGGTGGTCTCCAATCAACAATAGCTTCAATCTTCATAGGATCCACTCTGATACCCTCCGATGACACCACATGTCCTAAGAAAGAAACCTCTTCCAGCCAAAACTCACACTTACTGAGCTTGGCATATAGCTGTTTATCCCTCAGTGTCTGAAGTACAATCCGCAAATGTTTGTCATGTTCAACCCTGTCTCTGGAGTAGACCAAAATGTCATCTATAAACACCACCACAAACTGATCTAGATATGAGTGAAACACACGGTTCATGAGATCCATGAAAACCGCTGGTGCATTTGTAAGACCAAATGGCATATGACTAAAAATTCATAGTGACCATATCGGGTCCTGAATGCAGTCTTAGCGATATCTTCTTCCTTTATCCGCAACTGATGGTATCCCGACCTAAGGTTGATCTTAGAAAACATACCTGCACCTTTTAGCTGATCAAACAAATCATCGATTCGAGGCAATGGATACTTATTCTTGATTGACAGTTTGTTCAGTTGTCTGTAGTCAATGCACAATCTGAATGATCCATCTTTCTTCTTTACAAATAATACCGGTGTGACATCCTACCGAGTCGAGTCTTAGCATGGAGTCGAGTTGAACCAAACCCGGTTGGGGTAGAATGGGTTATTAAGTGGAGTTACTTCATTCTAGCTTCGGGCTGGTTGGCCATTCTGTAAAGGTGCAATTGATATTTGGATGCACTGCTCCAGGCATAAGACAATCTTATGGGTAAACTCCACTTCCTCTCCATTGGTGGTAACCCTTGGTAACTGTTCTGGAAATTACATCTGGATAATCACACAACTGTTGGTTAATATCTTGCACTTTTGACTGTATCTTTCTCTGCTAGTAATGCAATTACCAGTATGCTTAACAAACCCATTCTGAAATTAACTCTTTGCTGCCATGAGCTTGATATATCACATTACCCAGAAACTCTCGTCGCTTTCCAGGGACTCACTGTTAATCTCTTCCCCTGCTGTTTGTATATAATCGTCACCCTTTCTTTGCACAATCAACATATAGCCTGATGTTGGATAGCCAATCCCATAACCCAGAATAACATCCAAATCCTCCTAAATGGCAACTCCAATCAGATTCTCCTGGAAACTCTTTCCATGAATTAACAATTGGAACAATCCTTCGACCACTTGTTCATGAGTTTTACTCACATCTCCTCAATGGATTAGTAACTTACCATACCTGACTCACATATGCAACTTCTCTAACCCTTTAACCCAAGAGTTTAGGTAACAACTAATGTATGAATGAGATGAGCCAGGATCACATTAAAGCAATAAACTGTATTGATCACATCAAGGAAAAAACTCAACCAACTATTAACATCTGGAGCTTCACTCATCTTTCCCTGCGTTCGAACATAGCAATAAACCCTGGCTAGGACCTCTTGTATCGGGTCATGTCCACAGTCTCTGACTGCTGTCTCTGCCCTCCGGATGCTCTCACCTCTACCTCTGTCTGCTATGAAACTGTGTAGGAACTTTTTGCCCTTTCGGACAAATCCTATCTCTTCTGCATGGGTCTGCTGCTCCGCATATCCAACATTTTACCAAGTCACCAAACAAACAATCTACCACCATTGCCGCTGCACATTGCCTCACAAGGTTGGAAAAAAATTCATAACGGCTGACTATCTGCACCATCTAACTGGTGCCTCTACCAGTATCCTACTGCCTGAACCTCAGAAACTACCACCGGCAGAACTAGCCACAACTCATCACCATGCTGGCGCGTTTATCACCCCTAGCTGCGCCTTGGCTAAGAAGGTCTAGCAACTAGCTGATACTAACTAGCACCTCTTGATTCTCTTGGCTTTCTGACTGATGTGCAACTGGGTGTACTCTGGAGTCTGGTCTCTCCTCTGCTGAGAACCGTCGGCGTCTGGTCACGCCTGACTGGCCTGAATGCCGCTCTATCAATCCTGACCTACCTCTACCAAAGCTGAGAAACTCTCTGAAATCTGGAAGCACCACTCCCATCTGAATCTCAGTCGTTTCAGGCCTTCTGAAAAACTTTTTACATCACCTTTTCAGCCTCTGTAGTCACTATCCCCCTTACCATACCTGCTGAGTCTGGTGAATTCTCTTCGTATTCTCGAAACTGACATTCTGTTCTGGCCCAGGTATAAGAAATTCTTTCCTTCTCGCATTTAGGTAAGGCCTCCTGCTTGATGAACTTTTTCTTGAATTCAATCCAAAGAAGAATTGACCATACAGCTACTACTGTTTGATATACCCGCCATGCCTGAACAGATAGTCCAACCATGTATAGCCTCGTCTTATGAGCAATGAAATGTGGCCACAAACCAAACTTGTCCTTCTGGTGTACAATTGCTAATTGTTCCAGAACTCCTCATGTCCCATCTAACCAATACTTCAGCTCTTATTGGATTCATCATCCTTGTTTAGCACTGAATTCTTTCGCCCACATATTTCCGAAAGGCTTCTCTAGTGGGGGCTTTTCATCTTCTCTTTTCTACTACTATTGGATGCTTGAGGTATACACCCCTGCAACATGTCTAAAAGTTCATCTGCAAAGTTGCTTTTAACAAACACCTCTTGACCTGGTTGCTAATTAGGAGCCTACACACCTCCACTGGCTCTGGAGGCGTGACTGACTCGCTCTCAACCTTCCTGTGACATCCCACCTAAAAGAAACAACAACATGCTTAGTATCATCAGGGTAGTTCATGGCATTTACACTATACCTGATTTAATGACATGCCCAAGCCCGGGGGAAACTAACCTCAGGGCGTCGATACCAAAATTTTGCTAACATCCCTTCCCGGTCCACCAGTAAACCCGAAATAAACCGAAGTCAGAGATGCTAACCAAACTGGTTGACTGTAATGGCCTGACATGACATGAAGTCATAATGTAATATTCGAATATAAATAGGCCATGCATGACTTCGTCAGTATACAAAATCAATGTTAATTTATAATTATACAAAACATGATACTAGTGTCAAACATGAACATGGGCCCAAACATGTAGTAGCCCATGTTACATGCCCATGAAAAGGATAGACAAAACCAGACTACACATCCAAATGGCAAGCTAGCTACCCTGAAGACTGAGTTCTTCTACAAGATGAACATTGCAGCAGTTGATAAGCTGAACTCTCTATGGGCTCCATATCTCAAAAAACCTGCGAGTTAAACAGGATAACTCGCTGAGCAAATCCTCTCTCTTT